CCTCTCAAAATATGATATGTCCTCCCTTTTATCTCACCACCCTCTATATTTTTAACACCAAAATTTAATAGCATCAATGATGTCCCTTATACACAAACTACTATGCAAAAATCCATTTCTTAATCATCATCCCATTCTGAGATAAAAAATAAAACAGTCACCAACACATACATGTGCATGTGAAATTTTTTCCATTTTTTTTCTTTTTTTTTGTTTACTTTTTTGGTTTCAGGAGATCTCAAAACATGATTTGCAAAAAACTTGGAGGGTCAAATTTGAGTTGATTTCAATACTTTCCCTTGTTGTGTATACATAACAGCTGGAAAAGTAAAAGGCCATTGAAAGTGGCAACAATGCTCACTTATTCTTATTTGACTGGAATTATTCACAAGGAAATTGTTCCAGAGGGTCATACAGTCAGAGTGATTTCTACTTGATTATAATGAAGCATTTGTTATAAATTCATTGTTTGGCTTTAATATTGTAAACCTGGCAGCTGGGCTTTGTTGCATGACAAGCATATTGCCATAAGTTTCAACATTTGTTGCTAGAGGTCCACTTAAAAACTGTCATTATTCTTTCCTAAGACCAGAAAGTCATAACTGCTTGAGACCTATCCAGTTCTTGTTTTGATCTTGCTTATAACAGCTGCATGGTAAGCTGGTACATTGTCATGCAACAAAGTCCAACTGCCAGGTTTACAATTACATTCTATTGTATCTAGATGGAAAAAATTTTTGGTTAATAACAAATATTTTAATTTTAATTTTGTCATTCATAAAAAACAGTTTTCTATGATAAAAATGAGTGACTAATTTAAAATAAAATGAGTTGAAATTGCTAAATTTGCTGTATCATCAATATATAACATTGTATCATCAATATATAACAAATGTATATAACATTAAATGCCAATATACTAAAGACCTAAAATATATAACAGTTTTTTATTAGAAGAGAATCGACAAAAAATGAAATTCATTGATACTGTGATGAAAGCAAGTATTTAATGTATGTAATCATCAACTAACAAAAGTACATATAGTTTTAGAACCCTGTTTAATGTTTTCATAACTTGAACTTGTTTGAAAGCTGATTCTTCTGATATCTTATTAAAGTTCATGTACAATAAATATGTGATATATATATATATCAGCAAGAAGCCCAATAATATATAAATTTGCTTATTGAACTTATTTAATATATAAATCTATGATCAAATCTCAAATGAATAATTATGACCTGCTAGAACAAATTTTTGTTTAATAACAAATATTTTAATTTTAATTTTGTCATTTGTGAAAAAGTTTTCTATGATAAAAATGAGTGACTAATCAATATTCTAACAATTACTATCTTTGTTTCAACAAACTCAAATATAATTGCAGAATTTCATAAATTTTTACTCAGATGAAATGCAAAATGCAATTTTGATATATGTGATAGCATTGAGGGATTAATTAATCATGCTAATCAAGAGATACCTGTATGGATATTATTTCCCATAATTACATAATTTTTTTTTTAAATCAAATTGCTTGTGATTCCATCTAGTTCTAGATTTGGCCCTGGTTACAACAGCTGCATGGTGAGCTGGTACATTGTCATGCAACAAACTGCAATAGTTTGATTCCATCACTTTTGCCAACCAACTTTGTACAAATTCCCTGACCCTCACATCCCTTACCGTATGGTACATTAACAAAATAAATCATCACTTGACTGACTACACACATACACTATTGTTTCTCCAACTTTTTAACTGGTTATTTTTTCTAATTAACAGTTATATATATTTTTTATACTCAATAAATTAATAAAAAATATACAAATTTAAACAGTTTTAAAATCTAAAAGTATTTTAAAATTTAAAATAACAATTGATATTGTTGTACGCTTGTGTATTTTGTGTGCTGTAATTTTGGGGAAATTTTGTGTATGTTTGAGTAAAATTTTGGATTCTGAAAATATTTTGCACACCCTTTTCATAAGTTGCATTGTACCACAATACTTCTTGCTGCCTGCAGACAGCTACATTTGGTCAGCCATACTGTCAGCAAGCAAAATCAACAAGGCAACAAAGGGAACAAATTCCTTAACTTTTTGAAAATTTTTAACAAATTCCCTGACTTTCCATGACTTTTCCAAACACTAATGACAATCCCTGATTTTCCCAGACTTTCCAGGTGCATCAAAACCTTGTATATACATTATATTCTTGCTTTCATCACAGTATCAATGAATCTTGTTTTCCTTTTGATTCTTTAAAAAAAATTTTTATGTATCTTTGTAGAGAGTTGTTCTTTCATATTTTACAGAAATATTTGTAAAGGTTAAAAATTTCTTTTAAATGATGAAAAAAGTAATTCTTAGTAGAATAATCTGTAACAAATTAAAGTGATATGAAAGAGACAATAATTATAATTCAAAGCAACATTGAAAGTAGATGAGAAATAATATTAATACAGTTATCCCTTCATTAATATGATTAATTAATTCCTCAATGCTACTCTGTGTATATCAAAATCGCATTAATCAAATCTCAACCAAACAATTACAACTAGTGTTGCAACAAATAGTATATTCGGCCTCAGGCTGAATACCAAATATTCGGCCAAACTATTTGGCTTGATTAACGCATGTACAAAAATTGGCGCGGAAACTGCATTATGGTAAGGATACTGCTCTCTATTAGCCCACTGTCACTATGCTTTGCCAATCGCGTTAATTCTTGGCAGTTGTAGCAGACAGACAAGAGTGTCATGGAAGTATGTGATAAATGATATCAAATGTGGATAACAATGAAATGACCTACACGTGTAAATAACGGAAAAAGAACAGAGAAGGACGGCGAAGTGAAATTTGAAAATAAATATGAAATTGAGTTGATAACATATTTGAACAAGTCAAGGCAGCTTATTGGCACGAAATTCACGGCCGTCAATGCCAAACAATTGTTGTCATAGACTTTGGAAAGCTAAATGCTTGTAATGAAAGTCACTTAGCGTGCACGGGCGAAAGCCTGGGGCCATTCGAGCTACCAAGCTGTCTCGAATCTATGAAATCATAACTGTGACTTATACCAAAGTCCTATCTGTCTCTTTTCTCCGTTATCACCAGGCTGAGTCACATAAAATGGAAAATCTATGACGGAAAAGTGACGAATCGAAAGTATTGTGAGCACATATTATGATGTATGCATAGGCATACATGGATTAGAGCAATAGAGGAAAGAGAAAGGGAAGAGCAAAGACGAGCGCTTAGAAACAAGGATAGGCAGGGTCAGACCCTCAGATGTGCGAGGATTCTCCAACGATAGGCGTGTACATGTACTGATCTTTGTAATTATAAATTGTGAATACATGTGACTAATATAATTTTCTTTTTAACATTAAATCTAAATACCAAAATGATTAATTTACTGTGTTTTTTTTATTTATTACTCCTGTTTTTAGGTATTCGGCCAAATACCGAATAGTAACCGAATATTCGTTACATCAATAATTGCAACCCCCTAAAACAAATTTTTGGTTCAAAATTTTGTTCAAAGATGACAAAATTTAATATTTTTATTTAAATTTTGTCATACATAAAAGAGTTTTCTATGATAAAAATAAGTGACTAATTTGAAAATAAAATGAAAACTTAGAGCTACATATCTTCATCAGACAAAATTATTCTTGATTCAGTTTGTTTCACTTAGTGCATGCAGATCACAATCATCATGTCAGTGATACACTAAGATATTTTGAAGTTCATGAGTTGTTATTCATTGATTTTTAACAATTTCATCCTGAAATTTCTCTTCAACAGCTTTTGCGCACCCCTTATGTTTTATGTCCTTTAGATTTCCTGAATGAAACTTTCAAAATCATCTTTGACATGTCTGACATTCATGTGCATCTTCCCCATACAGTATAAGTATTTTCTACTGTTTGTATAGCATTATATCTGTTACAAAATTTAAAAAGCATATATAATATGCACGATATTCCTTTTATCTGCATGCATTTTCAGTTTAATTTCAAAATATTCATATATATATTAGGTTTTTACATCAGAAGTAATAAAATAAATTACTAGTATTCAGGTGAAGGAACAATGGTTAAACTGCAACAATACTATTTAGGACTAGTTGCATGAGTTTTAATCTCAAGGTTAAATGTACTTTAATATGAAAAATTACCCATGACATGTTACACAAGTAATAAATCTTTGGGATAAACTGCCAGATAAATTAACAAGCCAATTTGGGCAATTAAAATTTATCCTGTATATCAGTGAAGAAACAAGATGAATGACTAGTTCCAATTCCAATGTGGATGATCCTTATTTAGATGATATTTATCCTAATTCTGACAAAATGGTTTTAGAAAGATGATATCCTATAATGCTACATAATAAAACCAGCCCAAAGCCAGTTTCAGCTAGTTGCACATTTCATAGATCACGCATGTAATCATAATAATTAAAGTGTTTTATTAATTTAATATAAACAAAACAAAAATAACTGAATGTAAGTTAAATGTATTATGGGTTTTCAGTGGTAGATTGGGCTGTAGGCAGTGACATTACAGATTCATTTGCTAAAATAAACTTTTATAATCATTTGAAAAAAATTTGTGAACATTTGCAAAATTTTCTGTAAAACACAGTGGAAAAGTTTTGAAGTAAAGGACATAAATAAAAATAAAGATAAATTTCCTGGGAAAAGTTGAGAAAAAGATGAAATTCAACGACACTGTGAATCAAAACACAAATATGTCTACGAAGGACTCAGACAAATATAATTCTGCTACAAACATAAAAACAAAATTTTCCTTTTATTTATAAAATACAGAGCTGAAAATATATTAGAATAATTTATTTTTGTTCATCATCCCTGTTTATAGAAAAACATTAGAATAACAGTCAGATTTTCTTAATAATACTTATTAGTTATTATAATTAATAATAAAAAAATAAAATTAAAAGATAAATGAGATTTTATTAATACTTACTTTATTATGTTGTATCATATGAAAATCTTTTCCATATGTTCGAAGACCATTCTCAAAGCTTCTGCATTCTTCTTCAGACCAAAGACTCATAGTATCTGATGTAACAAACATACATCATATTATAAGCTTGATTATTCATCAAAATAAATTATTTAATATACATTTATTTATTTATTCTAACCTGCAGGAGGCAGTGGTTGCATTCGTCTCCTCCTTAATGCTTCTTCCACATTGTGGCCACATTGAAGCAATAAATACAAAGCCTAAATATATTTATAAATATTAGAAGAATTATTAAAATTTTTTCAAATATAGATCAAATTTTACATCTGTTAATACCTGTTCATCATCTCTAATGTGACTACCAACAGGAATAGCATTAACACCTTGAGCACAACTAGAAAATGGCTGTTGGGCTTGACGTAAGTATTCCACAACTAAAGTAAAGTAATTACTTTCATTTTAAAAAAATATGAATGAATTAATATATGACTAGTTACTAACTTAAAATCTTAAATGTATAATTTTTGTTATTTTTGGTTAGTTTTATTCATTTATTTTTGATTACTTTCATTCTTAGATTAATTTTTAGTAGTATTTCAATATTTACATTTATGTATTAATNATGAATAGATTTTGTTTTATAGAACACACATTAAAATCATTATTTTGTTTTTAAACTTTTCTTCCAACTTTTAGGCATTTTTATGTAGGTTGGTAATGAGATTTTCTTAATAGTTAATTTATATGAGTATGTACTATTGAGAATCAAACATGTTCTTTCTAAAGTTATAGAATTATCCCACAAATATTGAAAAAAAGAAAGAATTATTAGTTTTAGCAAATTATTATTGTTTGGCAATATTTGCTATAGTTTAATCACTTTTTTAACTTTTAAACTGTCATCAATGATGTCTGCAAATGCATGCTCAACACTGACATAAGTGTATTTAATTTGTTTGTTTCAGCCATGATTATTTGAGATACTTTCATATCAGGTGAAAGTGATTTTCATTAAGGATATGATATAAACCATATGTTAGGCAAATTGTTAACACTGTATGTTTAAAAATCCATATAAAACAAAAATAAGTACCAGTTACCCTTTTATTAACCTTAATGCTGAATAGTGATTCCTCAAAGTCAATTTCTATTTAATTTATTTTCATGTTTAGGATCATTATTCATTCATTTTGGTTCACTGGTACATATTTGTTCTCTGGTTATGCTTAGTGCATCTATGGAAAAAACCATGCTTTTTTGAAATCAATATTTTCTCAACATAAATGCAATAAAAATATGTTGGTGTTGAGAATTTTGAAGAATACATATCATCTATATATATAAAATTGCTTGTCCTGACTGACTGAATGACTCACTGATTCATCATCGCCCAGAGCAAACCGCTGGACCTAAAGAGGTGAAATTTGGTGCAAAGTTAGGGTATGTCATGAAAACACACACTAAGAAGGGATTTTTCGAAATTCCCAAGTGGGGGGGAGAGGGAAAGCATTAAGGCTTAACCGGAATAATGGCTTCTACTGTACTATTTTAGATGCGATTTTTTGTTTTTATCTGCGTTGTAGTAGGGTATGCCATGAAAATGCACACTAAGAAGGGATTTTTCTAAATTCCCCTGCAGGGAGAGAAGGAGAGCATTAAGGCTTAACCGGAAGAACGGCTTCTACTGTACTATTTTAGATGCGATTTTTTGTTTTCAACTACGTTTAGTCTTCATTGAGTTCTTAGGTGTATTAAATTGATAACATTTCAGACATTGTTATAAATATTTTTATCTACTTCGATTTTTAAAATGTTCGAACCGTTTTAAATTTGAATTTGTTATTGCATATTCGTTCGATTATAGAATGATTGTAAACGTTTTAGAAAATTGATCAAATTGAAAATAGTTCATTTGATTCTCGGCAATTCTCTTCAGCGGTAGGTGTTATATAACAATTACTATGGTTATTGAAATATTGAATGTAAATGGGGTTTGCTTGCAAAACCTTTGCGGACGAAGTCACGGGTAACAGCTAGTTTAATAATAAATCTAATTTTAAACAAAAATTTACCAAAAGCTTCTCATAAATGATTATAAAATAATGCTATATAACATTAATTAATAATTTTGAAATTGAAGGTAAAATAGTCATTCATAATTTGACATTTTCTGCAGTCTTTATGAAGTTTTTAAAAATTCTTTCTACCCTGTGAGCACAAGAGGGTTTTTTTTCCATACCCATTATGGGTTTAGCCAGGCCCATAATGAAACAGATGGATGACGAATAATGGGACCCAATGTATATGAGACAGGCTGCCCAAGAAAAATTTCTAGGGTTACCTGCTCAGGTTTACAGAGCAATAGGCTGACATCTAACTATCTTGGCGATACAACTTGTTAAATTTTCTGTATGTTAATTTTTTAGCACTTAAGGACACACAACTGACAGATTAAAAACAATTTTAATAAATTTATATTACAATAAAAAAAAACTGTAGGATTGGTAAATTTAATATAGTGTCTAAATTGTTTAATCCTTTAATGTAGGCTTTTCTTGAAAGAAATGTGTCATAATGCAACATTTTGCTTCACAGAAACCATCCAAAAAAAAAAAAAAGCAGCTATATTTTATTCATGGATAATGTTATTAAAACATAATTGTTTTGAGTACTTACAATGAGGGTAAACAAGAAGGAGTTAATCAAAATCAATTTTGCCTTTTTTTTGCATCAGTACACAATAATTGAAACCAATTGTTGAATTCATGTATACAACTTATATACATTACATTTAAATATATTAATATGATGTATGTCAATATGCACAATAAATCTGCTTATAACTATATACAACTTAAACCAAATCCTTTTTCTACATCATCTATACATTACAACTGCAGTATTGATGGAGAAAAAATACAAAGATTTACAAAAAAAGAAATATTAAAATGGTTTGTTTACAGATTAAACTTATAGCAACAGATTGTAAATGTAATATAGTGACTTAAGAGATTATTAAAAAAAATTTAAAGAACACATTCAAGACAAACCAATATGAATGATATATATATATATATATATATAATACACTCCATCTTATCCTCTACATTCTTTGCATTTCAGTGTGTCAATAAACTCCATTCAGATTCTTTAATCACATATTTTTATAGCAATCTCTTACAAAACTATATTCTAATCTTTATCTACTGTTGTAAGTTTAGTCTGCAAACAAACTTTTCTAAAATTGATGATAACATTTGCATATTTGATATATGACTGTATACACTACAAAAAATAGGCTTATTCATTTTTTTAAAAACACTTTTGTTATCAAGACTGTATTATAATAAACTTTCAGAAAAAAAATATAACTTAAATAAATATAATCTAAACACACAGATTTGCTATTGTTTTTAAATAATTGTTTTCAAAAAATGAAAATTTTTTAAATATTTTTTCTTATGTTAAAAAACATAAGATAAAATATTAAAAAATTTTCATTCTAATTTTTAAAGTTAAATCATAAACCTTTTAGTATAAAACTTATCACTTTCAACTTATAACATATCCATAGATTTATATTAATATCTTATATTAATTTATTGCTTTCAGTATACATGTATTCAATGTAACTCTCTCTAGAACTTACTATTATATATACATTCATTTCCAAAAATTATGAATAACCATTAATTTAGCCTATATCTTAGTGGCTAGTGATCAGAATAGCATAAAATTTAGCATACAAGCAAAACATTGTATTCTTTATGCAACAAAATAATTGAAAAGTAAAAATTTCATCTAAATTATGTCAAACCAAAATTAACAAGAAAATGTACTAAACATTGTTGTAAATCTTTTTGTACAGAAAATCATTAATATGGCATGTGGTTACCTTCAGCAATTGCTGCACAGTGATTGCTCATACATTATCACATTGTTTATCAGTTCTACTGGGAGCAAAGTCCATTCTTGGTGGAGGCTGAGATGATCAGCTTGCATTCTTATAGCATCCCATGCATATTTCATATTTGGGTCCAGATATCTTGCTGCCATTCCACGAGACAAATACAAGGTCTGTTACAAAAATAACCGAACTTTTTCAAAATAAAAAAAATTAATAGTGCCATCTGTATGAAAATTCAAACACCAAGAGATATATTTGCCACTGATATTGTGTTTTTGTGTTTATTGTCATTTGGATTATTAGAGCCTGAGTTAACATAGCACCTAAAGTGACAGTAATTTTGAATATTGGTCAAGAATGAATTTCAAACAAAGACAATATTAAGTTTTGTTTTAAACTCAGCAAAATTTTTACCAAATGTATGAAAATAATTAATTGATGAAAAAGTATATGGTGATAATTATGATGATAATATCTATCTTGTATACATGTGTACTACTAGTTTAAATAATTTGCAATGAGTTGGAAAGACATTAATGACACTGATTGGGTAGGTTGTCCGGAGAACAAATCATCAAAGAAAACACTGAAGTGTATGAAGCAATCAAAATTCAACCAAAATCTTTAGTATGAATGATAGAAAATGACTGAGGTTATCTAAAGAAGCATTTTGACTGATCATTTGAAACTTCATTTATACACAATTTGCTCTTCATACATTGACTGATTTGTAAAAATTGCAAAGACGTCATTAAAACTGATTGTAAAGTCTCAAATTTCCTCAAATCCAGTAACAGTACTAGGATTTTTATTGTGGGAGAGCAAAAGTGGATATATATTGTTTTAGTGGGACAGGTGTTATCCGCATATTTTATCTTCACACAATTTTTTAAATTTAGCAATTAATTTTCAGTGACTTACAAACAGAAAAAAATTTAATGAGAATGTGTAATTACTTGGCAAACAATCAATCTATACTTAAGGAATCCTTCAATAATGATATAGGTAAACTTGAATTAATTACTACAGGGCAAGTAGACAGATGGGTAAAGAGATTTTAGGGTGGGCTGTATATCTTTGTCTTACTCTAGTACCATCCATGCTCAAATCAACTGTTACAAATGACATAGTGTAGTGTTTCATTGTATTTCCAATATAATATGGAAACAAATCATCAAAGTGCAGAATGAAAGTCACCAAAAGAAGAAGAAAAAAAAAAATACAGCACTAACTTGTGCAACTTTCCCGGCTGTTAAGAGATTTTATTACTATCATCATAAAGTATTGGGAATGGTTCATTTAAACTGCATGCATGCAAGAGGGTGCTGTCATCGTTTGGTATGACTTTCACTGACATCTAGCCACAATTCATATGTCATTGTTTGTTTTTGTTTGCAAATAAACATTTGTTTTGTGCATAAAGAATTTTTGGACCAGCAATTTTTCAAAATGTTGAGTGTAATTAAGCAATGAACATGCATTCAATTTTGCTTTTGCAAGAGAATTACTGCTAAAAAACATTAGAAAATGTTATAAAAAGCCTTTGTTGATGATAGTCTATCAAAATCAAGAGTTTGAGTGATACAAAATGTTCAAGGAAGGCAGAGAACACATCAAAGATGAACCACACTCTGGTAGACCATCCACTTCAACTAATAAATAACACATTGCTCAAGTCAGAGATTTGGTATTCAATAATTGTCGTTTAACAATTACAGACATTACTGAACATGTTCCAATATCATTGGATCTTGTCATGATAAAGATTCTTTAAAAGATTACTTAGGTTTGCAGCACATCACTTCTCTAGTCATCCCAAAAGCATTGAATTTTTTCCAAAAACAACAATGTGTTTGAGTGGCCAAAGAAAATCATTCTTAAAAGACATCCTTATGGGTGATGAAACAGATTTATGCTTCTGACACCAAAACAGCTCACAATCAAGTGAATGACACTTAAAAAGTAAAGCAAAACTGAAAAGACTGTCAAAGTCAATCAAATATCAAGTTCATATTGATCGTTTTCTTTTATTGTTGTGGTATTGTGCATCACAAATTCCTTCTTACTGGCCAAACTGTCAACAAAAAATATTATTTGAACATTTTACATTGTTAGCATAAAGCAATTTGTAGAAAATGACCTGATTTATGGCAAGAAAATTCATGGATTTTGCACCATGATAGTGCACCTGTTCACAATGCTCTTGTTGTTTGTGAACTTTTGGCCAAAAATTCAACAAATATAGTTCCACAAGCTCATATTTATCTGATATGACACTGTTTAAGTTTTTTCTTGACTAAAATTTCTGTTTCATGATCACCATTTTGAGACGATTTATGCCGTAAAACAAAATTTGGTGTGAGTCCCAAAGGAGTTCCATGAAAACGATTTTAAAAATGTTTTGAGAATTGGAAAAAATGTCGGCATAAGGGCATTGTAGTGGGAGAGGATTACTTTGAAAGAAACAAAATAAATTTTGATGAATAAATTCAAACTTTGCATTTTATTGATCATACTGTTTTTTAATCATACTGTTAATAAATAAATTCTGTGCGACACCATCTGTTATAAAAATTTTTAATGATAAAATCTTATATTTTTAATTATTAAAAAATGGATAAATGCTTAATTTTGAGGATAGAGGAGTTTTATAAAAAATTTTAAATGTTAATAACAAGTAAAATATTCATTAACTCCAATCCTCTCAAAATATGATATGTCCTCCCTTTTATCTCACCACCCTCTATATTTTTAACACCAAAATTTAATAGCATCAATGATGTCCCTTATACACAAACTACTATGCAAAAATCCATTTCTTAATCATCATCCCATTCTGAGATAAAAAATAAAACAGTCACCAACACATACATGTGCATGTGAAATTTTTTCCATTTTTTTTCTTTTTTTTTGTTTACTTTTTTGGTTTCAGGAGATCTCAAAACATGATTTGCAAAAAACTTGGAGGGTCAAATTTGAGTTGATTTCAATACTTTCCCTTGTTGTGTATACATAACAGCTGGAAAAGTAAAAGGCCATTGAAAGTGGCAACAATGCTCACTTATTCTTATTTGACTGGAATTATTCACAAGGAAATTGTTCCAGAGGGTCATACAGTCAGAGTGATTTCTACTTGATTATAATGAAGCATTTGTTATAAATTCATTGTTTGGCTTTAATATTGTAAACCTGGCAGCTGGGCTTTGTTGCATGACAAGCATATTGCCATAAGTTTCAACATTTGTTGCTAGAGGTCCACTTAAAAACTGTCATTATTCTTTCCTAAGACCAGAAAGTCATAACTGCTTGAGACCTATCCAGTTCTTGTTTTGATCTTGCTTATAACAGCTGCATGGTAAGCTGGTACATTGTCATGCAACAAAGTCCAACTGCCAGGTTTACAATTACATTCTATTGTATCTAGATGGAAAAAATTTTTGGTTAATAACAAATATTTTAATTTTAATTTTGTCATTCATAAAAAACAGTTTTCTATGATAAAAATGAGTGACTAATTTAAAATAAAATGAGTTGAAATTGCTAAATTTGCTGTATCATCAATATATAACATTGTATCATCAATATATAACAAATGTATATAACATTAAATGCCAATATACTAAAGACCTAAAATATATAACAGTTTTTTATTAGAAGAGAATCGACAAAAAATGAAATTCATTGATACTGTGATGAAAGCAAGTATTTAATGTATGTAATCATCAACTAACAAAAGTACATATAGTTTTAGAACCCTGTTTAATGTTTTCATAACTTGAACTTGTTTGAAAGCTNTATAAATTATTTATAAATACGTATGTCAAGTTATATTTTTATTACTACGTAAAATATATTTAAGAGTTTACGACCACTGTGCTGGGTAAGACGTTGTTGAAACAAAAAAGTTATGCATTCCATCACGTACATAAATAGTGTCGTAATTCGCAAAGTGCAAATCAGCAAATTCGTAAAATTTTTGTTTATTTTGAACAATCCAGATAATCGGAAATCCGGATAATGGAGGTTCTACTGTACATGTCTTTTATCTTTTATCATTGTAATTTAGTTGTGATAATGACATTATGTCATACTCAAATATTGAAATCAATTCAAATTAATAAAACATTGACGTTTTAACTATATAAATTTGTATGTGACATATGTGCAGTATATATGCATAAAACATAATATAGAAACAAATTTATCTCAGAGGATTTTCTTCATTTACCTTCTTGATCTGTCAATTTTGATGGATCCCAAAGCAATCTATCTTCATTTTCATAAGCTGTAAATAAAAAATTAAATACAATTTCAAATAAAATAAAAATAATATTTACAAATAGTAAAGAATAGAACATATTTTACCTGGAGCATCATCATATTTACAAAGACCTTCTGGTACCATAGCTTGATAATCAGAACCCACTTGTATTGTCTGAAAAAGTGTATTGTTTGTATATCATTTCAAAAATTAATTTCAAAATTTAAATTTTATATTATAAATCATGTCCAAAAGTATATATAATCAACATTTTACTACTTTTCAGAACTGTTAGAAATTTAAAAGAAATGCAAATGACTTCATTTGTATATGCAAATTACTTTATGCTGATTTTTGATAATTTCAAAATTATAGATCATTATATTAATAATTTGACAACAAATATATATGTGAGGGACAGGACATGATAAATTTTGATAGAAATTTCAATTTTCGTCTTTCAAAAAATTTTTCCATTTTATTACTGGAGAATGATTAGACCTCTCTCCAAAGTTGTTTCCTTTCCCAGGGAACTCATGAAATATGTCACTGGAAACTAATATAAAAAACTCCTGATTGATGAAAAAGATAAAGTGATTTGGAGATATAAAAAGGAGGGACTCAAGGAAAAGGGGTCGCTGAGAGTTTGTGAATGCATCAACAAGGTGCCCTGAAAAAAAAAGAGATGTATCATCATCGTCCAGGCTACCCGGAATTTCATATCCTATGTTTCTTTAATAACACCGTCAAACTCCCCAGATTAGATTCTCCAGTTCTCCATCGCTTCCTCAACCGCCATCCAAGAAAAGGAAATCCTCAACTGCTCTTGGATTCCATCCCAACCGAACGAACAACTGAAGTCAGCAATCTGAAAATCTGCACAATTATCAGTGCATCAAAGGTATCTATACCAACTCGCAGTTTCCTGTAAACTCTCTCTCTCTTGACTGCTATTCAATAGCAGGAAGCTATATCTTCTCTTTTTTGCTGAATTAAATCAGTTATTTTAGTTGTTAACCTTGTATCTGAGTAATTCATTTCCAATCCATATCTCAATCCTCCTCCATCCTGAATCTGATCACCCACTCACGTAAATTCTGAATTTGCGGCCATTCAGATTTCTGTGTATATCCTAGAAGACACAGTGGTGTCAGTCCTGACAAAGCTCTAAAGAGGTGCCGACCCTCTGGTCACATGTATATTTTGGCTTTAAAGCTATGAGGAAAGTAACAACAAACTTATTTAATGCATTGGCAAGGGTTGCTAAGGCTCATTGGGGCCTAAGCACAAATGCTTTAGCCACAATATACAGTGGAACCCCGGTTAACGAACGTAATCCGTTCCACGAGTCCGTTCGTTAACCGAATTGTTCGTTAACCGAAGCAATTTTTTCCATAGAAATTAATGCAAATACAATTAATCCGTTCTAGCCGTCAGTATTTTTTGTAATTTTATTTGTAAAATGGGGTTTCTTTAATGAAAATATAGGAAAACGCGCTCACAAACAGTCGATCAAGGTTAAATTTTCGGAAAAAAGAAAAAATTTGACGGGTATAAAAACATCACATACGATCGTCAAAGTTCTAAAATGACAGATAGCAGGAACAATAGGCTAAATTATGAGCGAAAGGCTTATAGGTTTATCAACAATCTCTTATCAGAGTCGACGAATAGGTGTCAAATAAACGCTTCGGAACAAACCTTTCTCGTGACCTGATCTGGTTTCGGTTTTCACCTGGAGACAAAGAAGAAAACAATCGGGAAGCGAGGAATGGGACGCAGGACTAATCGTAAGGTGAGATTCAAGGAAGAAATACTATAAAAACCCCGAATCTCAAGGTCAAAACNGCCACAATATATGAAGGGGCATTTATCCCCAAGATAACGTATGCTGCTGGGGTGTGGTATGCGGCAGCACAGAAGGTTGTAATTAAGAAACAAGTACGGAGTGCGCAAAGGATGGCTCTGTTGAGGTTGACAAGAAGCTTTAGAACGGTGTCAACAGATGCGTTACTAGTAATTGCTGGAACGCCACCCATAGACCTGGTGTTAAAGGAGAAGGCAAATTGTTATAGGTGGAGAAGAGGATTACCTCTGATACTAGATGACCAGATGGAAAGTATGGAATACGAGACAAAACCAAAGGCTACAATGCTACCCAAGTTATATCATAGAATGGCCATAATGACAGCAGCAGAAGGGGAAAGTAGTGAAATAAACATTTATACGGACGGGTCGAAGGTTGAAGACCGAGTAGGAGCTTCCTTCTTGGTCGAAAAAGAGGATAAAATTATACATTACGAGCAGTTCCGGTTGGATAACCGCTGCTCGGTTTACCAGGCGGAATTATTGGCTTTGTTACAAGCAGTAAAATGGTGTGCCAGTAGTCAAAACTTAAGCTCTATAATAATAAATACAGATAGCAGGGCGGCCCTGCAAACATTGCAACAATTTACAGATACAAACCAAATGGCTCTAGAGATGAAGACCCTAATAAGGGTAAATCATTTACAGATTAAGTTCAGATGGGTTAAGGCCCATAGTGGCATTAGAGGAAATGAAAGAGCAGACGAGTTAGCTAAGGAAGCTACACAGCTAGAAGAGATTACGTACAGTAAAATCCCAATATCATATGTAAAAAGGAGATTAAGACAAAGTACAGTAGAAATATGGCAAGAAGAATGGAGTAATGGGAGGAATGGTAGACATACTTTTTGGTTGCTTCCCAGTGTTGAAGAACGGACTAGAGAACTTAGATGGCTAACACCAAACTTCTATTTAACTCAGCTTCTGACGAATCACTGCAATACGAAAGATTATCTCAAAAGAATCAATAAAGTGCAGGATACCTTATGTGTGTGCGGAAACGGGATGCATAGTCTGGAGCATCTTCTGGAAGAGTGCAGTAAGTACGAACAGGAACGTCTGCAATTTCAGCTGCAAGCGAAAGACGTCATTCATACAAGTGAGATAGACCTTTATATGTGCCTCAGACACAGGGACTTAGTGCGGGAATTGCAGAACTTCACGCGGAGAATATTGTCGTGAAAGGGATACGAGTTGTATCCTGGTATTGTAATCAAGTGTACTAGGTTTAAGGCAAGAGCCTTTTGTATATATTTGTTATTTTATTTTGTTTATTGTTATAATTGTACAAGATATACAAGATAAATTGAATAAAGAAAAGTCTCCCTTGTTATATGGATAGTGGGACAAGGGTGATGCTGATCCCCATTGGGGAAATGATGATTACCAAAATAAAAAAAAAAAAAAAAAATGTATATTTTGGCTATCCCGAAAGTATAGATATAGATAATAAAATAGAATTGTAATATTTCAAGCACAAGAAACTTAAAATTACAAAAATAGTAATAAATAATGCCAAGTAACACTTTAACTTGGTTGTCAAGTAATAATTTAAATATTGAATCAAAACTTTCCAAAATGCCACATGGAAGAATTTAGTACAAAGAAATTGCAAGAATATGGAAATTAAAAACAGAAGGCTGTTGTGTCAAGGAAATTGCTGTTTTAATGAACAGATTTACTCCTGAAATTTATACTTTCCAAACATTGATCAGGAAGATCCAAAATCACATCTCAAAGGGATGATAATCAAATTCAAAGAGTTCAAATATTTGTTAACCCTAAATGTTTTTCAAGATCATCCTGTCTCTGGATCCAAATATATACAAACCCCACTATTGCTTAATTTCAGATATAGAAAGGAAACAAAACTGTCTTATTATTTTATATTGAAAGCTAGTTGTAACAATATTTATTACATACATATTCATATATCAAGTCTATTTGCAAAGAAAACTTAACACATGCAATAAAATAAAAATGTACACCAATGAAAGTTTGAGAACAGAGTCTTATAATAGTCAGAACCACTATTGATAATTTATCAAAATAGTGAAAAATTTTGCTATTTGAACTATTTTGCTATGGGGCTTTTGTGTTCTATAACACCAAATCTGAATCTGATACAGACACAGATATGTAAGTTTGGACAGATAATTTGATACTAAAAATTAAATGTAGCTAAATAAATAAATAAAATACTTTCTTACTGGAACTACACTATAAATAAAAATCAAAACCTTTAAACAATCCAACAATCCTGCTTGCTGCCTTTGCCAAGCAGCAGAATATCGAGGTCTTTTGGGATCAGGCGTCAATCTTACGAAAAACCCAGTCCTTAAGGCCACTTTTAACAAAAAATTTTTTTTTCAATTTTTGGAATGTTTTTTAAGTCCCCAAATTTTTTCAAAACTTTTTGCCCGCGCAAAAAAATTTTATTGCGATTTTAATGAGCCTTTGATAAGGCTCAATTAAGCCTTAATTGTTTTTTAATGGGAGTTTTTTTATCAAATTTATTTCATGGTTCTTAAGTTGTAGCACACAGATTTGACTTCGATAAAGTTATTTAAAGCTGCTTTCTGATGTAAAAAATGACCTCCAAAAGTTTTTTAAATTTTTTATTTAATCGATTTTTTTTATATTAATTTAATTAATTAGGGGGTAGGAAATCGCAATAAAATTTTTAATTTTTTAAAAATATTTAAAAATTATAGTGTCAGTCATAGTCACCCTACTTTAAACCCTTGTCCTCCCAAGACGTATATGAGAATGCCACGGGAAATGGGACTCCAGCTGTGTTCAAGGTCATCCAGCTGTGTAAACAATGACTCATCAGTGTTAAATTTCACAGAAAGGCGAGACAAAGGAAAATAAAATTTGAAGCTTTTTCTTCAAAATTAATGCATTTTTTTCGTTTTTTTTTTTCAGTTTTAAGTATTTTTTATGTATTTTTAATGATTGATTACGTCATAATTAAAATCAGTCGGGCGTTAAGGGGTTAAAGATACAAGATCCAGGCAGGCCATAAAACATCTGGAAAAGCTAGAAATTCACAAGGCTCAGTTGCACACAAACTGTATTAATCATAGGGATGCTGACGGATTGTCATTGGCATGGAAATCCTTCTACGATGAGTTGACGTGGTTTATGTAAGCAGGAAGAATAATTAAGATAATTTTTTACTGAATGTATATATTTTATTTTATTTCTTTGTTTCGATTTAATTAACTTGTATAATTTTTGCAATTATTTAAACTTGGTAAATGTTAATGTACATTTATGTAACCGCTTTTTGAATTTTGTTTTACGTAATTTCAAATTCTTCGTTCGATTCAAAATGATAACTGAGGATGATCGCTTAAAGCGTTCAAAAGCATTTTTAAGATATTAAAAAACGATTTGCTGGATTGTTTAAAGGTTTTGATTTTTATTAAATGTAGCTTATAATTTAAACTAAATTTTAAGATATTCTTAAATTATAATCACTTACTTTTCTCCAATCTTCATCTGGAGAATAATCATCATCTGTCCCAGAATCTGAAGATTCACTAGCTTGAGATACCGCTGCAAATATTTAAAAAAAAAGCAACAACCTTCATAAAAGGAAATAAGTACATAGTACCTAATAGTAAGTAAATAATATATACTTACAAATAAATTTTACAATCTACTAAATTTGAAAACTATAGTCAAACCTTGATTTTTGAACATAATTCATTCCTAAAAAATTGTTATAAAATAAATTTGCTCTAATGTCAAAACAAATTTTCCCCATAAAAAACAATATAAAATGGATTAATCTGTTCCTGACCTCCAAAATAAAGCCCTTATTTACATTTTTAGCTGTATTTTTTGCTAAATATGCCTACAAGTGCAATGTAATATTGTGTTCCAAAATGTGGTGATTGTAAACAGAAACTAAGAGGAATTACTCCAGCACATCCTCATAAACTGATGTCTCTTTCCAAGAGAGACAAAACTCACCAGAACCTATGGTGGTTCCAGATGTGGAAAATGTGTACAAAATAGAATCATTAGAGTTTCCTCATTGAGGAACAGAAGATTGTCATGAAAGTACTGAAAGCCTAAGAGGCAGGCTCCAGCAAAACAACAGAAAAAGGCTCTATAATTACGTATACATGAACTTTGAATTAAAAATTATAAGTGTGAATTATATAATGTAATGCTGTATTATATATAATAAATTTTTATTATTTAATTTGATTTAAGTACCTTTAAAGACAAATTCTTCAATGTCATTTATATTATGTTAATGTCAATTAAATGGGTTTTATTAATTAATTTGATTTAAATTCAACTGCTATTTGTACTGAAAAATGGTAGTACAGTAGTGTCTCAAAAACTCGACCTAATGTGGACCGAAGGGTGGCCGAGTTTATGAAAATGCCAGGTTATCGGGAATGGGGTTAAAAAACTAAGTATGAGTGTTTCCTCAGAAAATACTGTACTGTACTTGTATGTATTGTTTACTTGATAATACAACAGAGAATAAACTGTCCAAATACCCTTAAACAAAGAAAAAGTATGTCCTTTATGAAGGCATAGAGCCTTTACCACATGAAAATGAAAATTAACGAATACACTGTGTACAGTAATTTACCTGATAAGACAGACCTCAGAAAAATACTTTATGAGGCATAAAGCTGTCTATAATGAAAATTAATTAACTAAGGATTTTTTTGCCCTGCCAGGGTGTGGCCGAGTTATCCGGACTGCCGGGTTATCGAGTGCTAAGTTTTCGAGACTCTACTGTAGTATCTTTTCCATATGCATATTAAAATATAATTTAAACAGTAATGTCATTGATGACTTGTATCATGACATCTAATGACACAGGCCATTCTTGACACCACTAACTTCTGAATCAATAGAACTGTCACTGATTAGTCAGGCCATCGACTTTCTTTAACATAAAATGTAAGGAGTTGATCATCTGTCTCTCTAATCTGTAATTGGCTCTTGCCAAGTAGCTTGTTCAGCAACCAGAGAAAATATAAGTAAAAAATTCTGTTTGTAAACTGATTTCTTTAAAAAATGAATCATTCAAAAACAAGATTTGATTGTATTTTATACAATTGTATTGAATACTTAAAAATCAAAAAATTTCATCACACACTTATTATTTATTAAATAATTCATTAAAATTTTAAATGATTTCTACTAGTGATGTGCCGGATATCCGTATCCGCGGATATCCGAGGGAAAAAAAGGATCTGTATTCGTATTCGTATCCGTTACTTTTTAGTGGATCTTTAATGGATCTTTTATCTTAATGAATTTCATTACATGAAATTTTAAAGATAGGTAGCAATAAAATACTAATGACTTCAATTCAAATCACTTTTTATTTCTTAAAATCACATATTTGGCACATTCACATTGCAAAAATTTTNAACTGCTATCTGCAACAGATATAACATTCAGGGAATGGTGAACAGTACATTTGATTGGTACAACATGACATTAAATTTATGCTAAGGCAAACTACAACTGCTTGAATTTATTTTATGAACTAACAAAGTATTTTTCTCCTAAAATGATGTGTGTCCTGAAAAGAATGATGAGATTCATTTAATTTTAATGTTTAACCAAAACCAAATTTTATAATAATTATACCATATTACACTACTAAACTTTTTTGTCGACATTGTTTTTATTTTAATTTAACTCAACACTCTCCAAAAATACAAACGTAATCTACGCTATTCCGGGTCACACTAAACTATAAACAAAAACACATGCAGTGCAAGTTAAAGCATGTCGTGTTACTAACACAAAGCATCAACTATTGGTCCAAGGTCACACTCACCGGCGCCGACTGAGTATGAAAGTCAAAATCCGTATCTGCAGATCTAGACACTAATAATCGTATTTGTATCCATATCTGCGGATATACATTTTTTACGATCCGGTACATCACTAATTTCTATAGAATAAACTTTTTAATCATATTTTTATGATTCTATTCTAAGCTGTATTATTCTATCCTACTAACAAGTTTTTATTTTGTTTAATAATCATAATACTAATTAAAAAATTCATAATACTATCACATACTTTTTTACAATTTTATTTATTATAATTTATAGTGTAGTTCAAAATTATAATTGTTTAGACAAAGCACAAATAAAAAATTCAAAATCAATTATTTTATCAAATTACTTTAAAAAATAATTTTCTGTTTTTAAAACTCATCAGCAACTAAAGACATCTATTATATAAATATTAAACTAATAATTTGGCAGAATAACTAATCATTTTAATAAAAGTTCAATGATGAAAGTAAATATTTATACAGCAAATATATATATATTTGCAACATACAAGCATATAATTTATATAATTCACATATAATATAATGCAATTAGAAAAAGAACTATTTATGAAAAGTTATATAACAATTATAGCAGAATCTGCTTATTGTAATCACTTTGGACTCACCTATACCAATAATGATAACTAACTGATAACAGCAAAATAAATACATATATATGACCACAATTAGTGAAAACTCTGATTTCATTGATTTTGATGTAAAAAATAAAATGTTAAAACAAAAAAAATCCAGCAAAAAGTTGCTTAACCTTCCTTGCAACTTTTGATGATGCCATCTGTTATGACATTTTATTAAAAAAACTTTTTTATTTTTAACTATTTATTATAAAATGGCAAAAAGCTTAATCTTCAGAGTAGGAATGGGTTTTATAAAACAATTGTAAATGTTAATAATGAATAAAATCGTCATTAAGTCTGACCCTACTGGAGATACACACAATCCCTTTTATCTCCCCATCCCTTCAATCATTAATCACCAAAAGTTAATAGCATCAATTCCCCTAACAAACAAACCTCTCTGCAAAATTTCAGTAATTTTTGACAGAAAGCACAGGAGTTATTAAGTTTTAAAGAAGTGAACAAAATTGTGCCTCATACACAGACACACACACACTAACATCCATATATACAGAAAAAAACCCAATTTTTTGCACTTCTCAGAATTTCAAGGTGTTCTGAGCACAAAAATGTAAAAATCTGGGGGGGTTATTTTTTGACCGATTGCCATACTTTCTCTCTGTTATGTAAAACAGCGTGGAAAGTAAAAATCTAACTCAAAAATTTGTTAATTATAATCAATATTATTAATTAATTGTGGTTTATCTAGTGCTGTTTGCAACAATGCATCTTTAATAACATCTAGCATACAGGATATTCACTTTAACATTTATCCAGGTGCAAATATATCTTTGTAGTATTGCACAAGTACATTCATATGATGCATTAGTTCCACTGTAATGTTTACAGTAGAATAAATTAATTAAAAAAAGTGACATGTAGGTGTCACACAACAGTTCTGAGACAATATATGTTTTCCAAACATAAGAACAAGATGGAAATTAAAATTATGATTTTGACAAATCACAGTATACACGATGCTGCTTTCCATATAAGAGCAACAGCATACATTCTGCTAATTGGTAAAGTACAATGATAATGCATTACACTCAGGAACACTACTGTAAAATGATTATATGGGGAATCAAGACAAAATGCATGAGAAGCAGTATACAGATTCACAGGTGTTTTTCCAGCTGCATAAGATCTATACATATAATGATTCTAAATGTAATATGCCATTTCTTTGAAAACCTGTAGCAAGGTCAGGAATTATGGAGTCAATGTCTCTCTTGTGTATACGAATATACTTCCATGTATATTCATATACACAAATGTGAAGCAGCAAGACAATGTACATTGCAACAATCACAAATACATCAAATTTTTGGTTGCCATGACATGCACCCATTCAACTGCTATCTGCAACAGATATAACATTCAGGGAATGGTGAACAGTACATTTGATTGGTACAACATGACATTAAATTTATGCTAAGGCAAACTACAACTGCTTGAATTTATTTTATGAACTAACAAAGTATTTTTCTCCTAAAATGATGTGTGTCCTGAAAAGAATGATGAGATTCATTTAATTTTAATGTTTAACCAAAACCAAATTTTATAATAATTATAAAATCAAAAAACCTTAAAATCAAATTAAATAAGTAATTATTAAACAATGTGTGTTAATAAAATTTAAAAACAATTAGTTATATTGGGTTGAACTGAAAGTTCGTTAGGATATTTACAGTAATACCTCGACTTACGCGAACCCGGAGTTACGCGATTTTCAAATCTCGTCAATTCGTCTTTTGTTTGAGCGGCACTCAACCCTTGATTACTCACCCCCCCACACTATTGTTCAGCTTACATGTTCGGATGTGTTGCGCAGAATCAACACATAGCTACAATTTATTTTGTGTTATTTATTTCTGTGTTTGTTATATCTACGGAGACTCGAGAGACTCTACTATGTCATCCAAACGAAGTAGAACTAATTCTTCTGCATCAAACAAGAAAAGAAAAACTTTATCTTTGGAATGTAAAGTTAACATTGGGTATGTTTGTAAAGTCGAACAAGTTAAACGAGAATGACGTCATTGTTATTCCTATTTCGTTAGACTTTTCGAATGCTTCATTACTAACGTGTTTAACTCGTTTGACTTTACGAACATATCCATTATTAAAGACTTCGATACAAAAATGAAAATTTGTGAATTGGCAAAGAAGTTTGATCTACTGGAATTGTCGGTCAGAACAATTATAAAAGACAAAGAAAAAATTCTCGAAGCTGTGAAAAATGCTCAATCTTTAAATTCAAGCATCATTCATAAACGTCGCAGTATTATCGCTGGGATGGAAACAATGTTAAAATTATGGGCATAATAATCAAGTAAATGTGAAAAATTGTAAAATAATATAGGCCTAATTTGTTATACATATGTATTATCTAAGATTTTATTAAACATTTTTTTCTAAATTATTGTTTTCTTTAGTCTCTGGCCCCAATTAAAAATTATTTGTATGTATTTATATGTGAAATTATACCCCGACTTACGCGAATTCGACTTACGCAGTTACCGCTCGGTCCCACCTATCGCGTAAGTTCGGGGTATTACTGTACATAATAACTTGTCTGTGGCACCTCTGTCATGCTTATCAAGTTTTAACTTGTTTAAGTTGACATTACGAATATTTGCACGTTTACTACATAAGTTTAATTAGAACTATTTTTTAAAATTTTGTTATCTTTTAAGAAAAAAAACATTAAAATGGAAAATAAGAAGGTGCATTTTCGACATCTCATACTCTATTATTTCCAAAAAGGAAAAAATGCGACAAAAACTCAGAAAAAGATATGTGCTGTATATGGGGAGGATGCAGTTATGCCAGAAATGGTTTTCAAAATTCAGGGAGGGAGATTTTTCTCTCGAAGATTCACCTTGGTCAGGATGGCCTTCAATCATAGAAGATGAGTCCATAATGGCTTTAATTCAAAATGATCGGCATAAAACAACATGAGAGATAGTCGACATCTTAAAAATATACCCAAACATCTGTTGTCAGACATTTGGCTAGCCTTGGATACACTTCCTGTTATGATGTTTGGGTTCCCCATCAATTAAGTAAACGAAACCTTATTGAGTGTGTTTCTGTATGTGATTCACTTTTAAAATGCAATGAAGATGATCCCTTTTTAAAGCAATTAATAACAGGTGATGAAAAATGAATTGTTTACAACAATATTCAATGCAAGAGATCTTGGAGTAAGCCACGTGAGCTTCCAGTACCACAACCTAAAGCTGGCTTGCATCCCAGAAAAGTAATGATTTTAGTTTGATGGGACTGGAAAAGGGTTCTTTATTACAAACTTTTACCCAACAACCAAACAATTAATTCCAATAAATATTGTCTCCAACTGGATGAACTAAATGCTGCAGTGCATCAAAAACGTCTGGAACTTGCAAATTGATGGGGAGTGCTATCATGATAATGCAAGACCACACATATCGTTAAACATGCACCAAAAACTTCTAGACTTTAACTGGGATGTTTTGAGTCACTGCATATTCTCCAGATATTGCTCCCTCAGACTATCATCTTTTTCGTTCATTGCAGAAGAATTTAAATGGCATAGAATTTCTCAATCATTAGAAGGTATCAAAAATCACATTCATAATTTCTTCAATCAGAAACCCACCCAATTCTACACAGATGGAATTATGAAACTACCTTTAAAAATTATATATGTAAGTTCTAAAGTTAAATTAAAGATTGTTAGTTTAGATGAGAAATAAAAACTGAAGAATTGTATTTAAGAATAATTGATAAAAATGTTTCTTAATGCATTTTAATACTTATTATTTTAAATAAAATAGCAAAAATTAAAAAAAAAATACTCACATCTTAATAGAGGACCTGAAGGATTTTCAGGTATTTCTACAGGTGATTCTTCTCTGTCACTACAATGAGAGAGTGATACATCTACACTTTCTTCTTTATCAGAAATCATATCTGGTTGAATTGGACTTTCTGTATTTGATGATAATTGTTTTACAGGACTATTAGCACCATCTCTTCCATCATAACCATACATAGCTAATAGTTCATCTAGAGGCATTTCTCCTTCCTATTTATATAAAACTAATCATTATTAATGCAAATAAAATTTAATTATAAATTATTTATTTTTCTAACAGTTAAAACGTTATTGATCAAATGCTAAAAACTACAGAATAAATTAATGCTTATTTTTAAGATGAGTTGAAACAGTCTCCATTCTACAAAAAGGTTATACTTAATACTTTCCATGCCAGTCTGGATGTTGTCTTTATTAATTACTAGCTTACTCGTCACGCATTTCTCAGAAGAAACTAAATTCAAGCAAACTCGTTATAATAAAATTCAATTTACATTTTATCATTTTTATTGAAACTTATTATTATTATTATTCATTTTCATCAGGAAAAACATTTCAAAGTGTCATTTCAATTCTATTTGTTTATTGGAGTGTTTGTGGATACATGATATTTTTTGTTTTTCCGTCTGATGCGTACACGAATAAATCAGAAGCTTTTCTGACGTGTGAGCTGGCCACATACAGTTGTCCATGCGAGAAGCACGATTCTCCAAATCTAGCCCCCACACACACAGCGATTGTCAGAAGTGCGACATTGCCCATTTTTATATATATTTTTTAATCCTTTATAATTTTAATTATTTAATCGCTCCTTCCTCTCTTCCTTGGCATGTTGTGAAATTTCTGATAGTTGGATAATAAACCGTTTTATTGTAATTTGTCTTTTTAAATTATTTTGAGTTGATATTAAAATTTGGAAAAGGGGATCCCTAGATCGGTAAAATAGGCGAATTTCCTCCTACAACTTCGGTTGTTGTTTGGGATACAATTAAGGTTTTAACAAAGTTTGAGTGAATTCATAATTAGCAAAAAATAGTTGAAATAAAGTGATTAAACAAAAATTATTACAAATATCGTAAATAACAGTTCACAAATGAACATATAGAGATATTTTTTGAAGGGGGAAATGGTCTTCACAATTTGAAATCCATCGATCTCATGATGAAATGCTCGTATACACTCTATCATAGGATCGCGCCATCTATCATAGGATAAATGTACTATGCCAGAAACGGAGTGTATTAAAAAACTTCCCAAAGTTTCACGGCAATCGGATAAACAGTGTGCATGAAGAACAGACACACACACACACACACACACTCATTAATATATATATATATATTTCATAGCTACAACAAACAAATTTTAATGTGTTAAAGCTAAATACCAAAAATTCATAATTCATAGTGTTTTCAAAATGATTTGATAGCACTGTCACTCTCTTCATTGAATGGTATGTTTTTAAAGCAAGCATATGTTCTTCAATACAAAATACAATTGCCAATACGCCCAGAATTACCAAGAGACTCCTCCCAGAATTTGGCAAAAATTTTTACATTTTCCATCTCTGAATTGAGGCCTATTCCTCCTATATACGAGGGGGGACCAAAAAAAAAACCGAACTGAGAGCGCACTGCAATTCGTAGACATAGTAGAGAGTTCTCTTGCTAGATGGGGTTAGTAGAAACCTTCATGAAATAGCTGAGCAGACAACATCAGTTTGTAGGTTTACGTTTGAGCGCAGTGTTGTGTTTCTCTTACTGTTATTTTGTTCTGGCTGCGAAGTTGTTATCGCGAATTTAAAAGAACAAAGAGTGTTTGAAATTTTGTTTCCTGCTTGAAAAATCGGCAACAGAAGCTTACCAAATGTTGCAACAGGCTTTTAAAGTGGCTGCTATGAGCCACACACAAGTTTTTGAGTGGTTTGGGTGCTTTAAACGTGATGAGATGAGTGTTGAAGACCATGCTCGTTCTGGGCATCCTTGAACATCTTGAAACGATGAAAATGTTGAAAAAATCTGCCAAAAAATCAACGAAGATCATTGTTTCATGATCAACCAAATTTCAGAAGAGACAGGCGTGAGTTGGAGCTCGTGCCAGTGGATTTTGACTGAGCAGTTGCAAATGAGACGTGTTTCTGCTAAATTTGTTCTTCGCCTTCTCACACAGGATAAAAAAAAAAAAAAAAACATTCAATTGAATTTGAGCCGGGACTTGAAAAAAGAAATTGAAAGTGATCCAAACTTTTTGACCAAAGTCATTACAGGTGATAAGAGTTGGTGTTATGGGTATCACCCAGAAACTAAGCAAGCGTCAAGCCAGTGGAAGACTCCCAACTCTCCCAGACCAAAAAAAGCAAGACAAGTAAGGTTGAATGTGAAGACGATGATCATTGTCTTTTTTGATGTTCGTGGAATTGTGCATTGGGAATTTGTTCACCCTGGCCAGACTGTTAACCAGCACTTTTATTTGAAAGTTTTAATACGTTTGCAAGAGGATGTGCGAAGGAAACGCCCAGAACTTTGGCGATCATGTGACTGGTTCATTCATCACGACAACGCTCCTGCACACATGGCCTTAGGAGTGAACCACTATTTGGCCTCTCGGGGATGACCTGTCATTCCCCACCTTCCATATTCACCAGACCTAGCCCTGTGCGACTTTTTTCTGTTTCCGAAAATTAAAAAAAATCTAAAAGGGAAGCGTTTTGATGATGTGGAGGCAGTAAAAACAGCTTCGCTAAGGGCACTGGACGATATCAAGGTTGAAGAGTTCCAGAGATGTTTCAAACAGTGGAGGAAAAGACTTGACAAGTGCATCGCATCTAATGGAGAGTACTTTAAAGGTGACTGAAGGAATTTTGTAAAAAAGTTAATAAATAAAGTTTTTATACAAAAAATCCAGTTTTTTTTTGGGTCCCCCGACGTATAAGTATATAACAAGACAACAATTTTTGGGTATGCTTTAAAGCAAACAAAAGAATAAGTAATATAATGTTTATATTGTTGAGAATAAAGAATGTTAATCTCCCAGAAATCCTATTTTTTATTCCTAGAATGAAAAACTCCTCAATAAACTCTTTGAGAGTTGGCAACTTTCATATAAAATCATTCACTTTTTGTTTTAATTAAACAACAAATTTAGTGAATATTTTAAAAGTAAATATTAATTTTGTCATGATAACAAGGCCTGGGAAGTAATTATTAACTATTGACACAGAATGAAAAACAAAAAAGTGAATTCACATAGAAACTGAAGTGAATATAAAAACTGTTTATATCCACAATAAAACCCAGTTATACAGTTTCCATTCCAATAATACTGATTCTTATAATTTCACAAATAACTTATTTTTTACATTCAATATTTTGTTTTATATATATAAAAATTATTTGTACAGGTACAACTAGTAAACCTTAAACTGAAATAACTCTTCTATTTTATTGGGTTGTTTGGAAAGTAAGTTCATTTCTTTTCTGTGGAAAAAACAATATTTTTATAATAAATAAATATTTTATTGAATTATATATCGACCATTTTGGTCAAATACCTGTTGTCATCGTTTCTGGTAGTAGCATGATTTTACATTCATAAAAGTTTTGATCGTTGCTTACAAAAATCTGATCCAAGTGATTTTTGACATTGTCATTTCAAGTAAATGTCTTACAGTTAAAAAAAATTTGTATAGACCGGAACAAGTAATAATCTGAGTGTGCTCGATCTGGCGAATATGGTTGGTGTGATAGCAAGTCCTATCTAAGTTATAACAGTTTCTGATGAGTTACCAGACTTGTGTGGAATTTGACATTATCGTGGTAAAACACTATACCTGTTTTGATCAATTCTGGCCGCCTTTTCCATTTGATGATATTACTTAATTTGTTTACTCAATGGTAATACACTTTCAAATCAATTGTTAAATTGTCTGGTAAAAGCTCCAAAAAAAAAATTTCTTAAAATCCCACCAAAGAGAGCATCTCTCTTTAAGAACATGTGGAACCCATATATCAAGCTTTAAAACGAAACCAATCTGTTTCAAGTAATCAAAAATGGTTCAATTTGACAAATTTCATCTCTTAATGATTTCACATGTTGTTATTCGGCAGTTTGCTTCAATCAGTACATTTATTTTGTTTTCATTGGCTTCAACTGGCTATCCAGAATGTGGTGCATCTTCAATATTGAAATTGCCAGAACAAAATTTTGTAAACCAGTTTTGGCAATGTCTTTCTCTCAACACATCATCTCCATACATGTACCACAATTTTTTTCTCTCTTAAACAGCATTTTGTTTTTTTGGTAATAAAAAAGCAAAATATGCCGAAAATGCTGCTTTCAATCTTCCATATTTGATGGGACATAAAAGATAAACAATTGCACGAAATCAAACAAAATTTTTTTACAAATAAGCCTTAAAATGCTAGCTGTCAAAATATATAATGATAATATGGTTTAGAATGAAAATGGCGGAAAAAATATGAATAATCCATCTAGTGGTAAAAAAACGAACTTACTTTCTGAACAACCTAATATTTTAACAATAAAAACTAATTATCTAGTTACTGATATAGGAAAGTTTAAGTTGCAATCAATTTATGTTTTCATATACAAAAAAAAAAATGATTACAATTAAGCTCTTCAACAAGATTTTAGTTTTCTTTCTTTCTTAGACTGCTTAATAATTTGCTATTGTTTTTAATGATGATATTTTTATGAGAAAATCTGGCAGCATAATATAAACTAGGACATCAGTTGACATCAGGACATCAGTTGTATCATGATAGAACTGAGGTGGAGTCTGAAAGAAAAAAAAATCCCTGCACCTGTTAGACATAAAGAGGTGATCCTTATACCTGACAGACATGGACAAGTGAACTTTGCCCTTGCCACTAAAAAATAGCTATCCTTGTACCTGCCAGACATGGCAGGTACAAGGATAACTATTTTTTAGTGGAATCATCAGTTTAGTGAATCATCATCTATTTTTTAGTGGAATCACAGTGGAATCAACATAACTATACTGAGCATTGTCGTTTCTTAAGATCTTGAAAATAGAATTGATATATCATGTTCACATTATTACATTTGGCTACCTGTTTGTATATTTTATTCAAGGTAGAGAAATAATTTATATTGAGTCTTCTTTCATACTCAGTTTGTGAAAGCTCACTTCATTTGTTAATTCTCCTTTTTCAGGTATAAGGATCAGATCTTCATTCAAAGCTGGGGTGTACCTATGGAGAGTTCCATTCCTGGATTACTGTGTGAACTTGGCATTTTCTGCTTGGAAAAGATGATTTTACCAGAATTCCAATATCTTATTCTGATCTATGTGAGATTTGTCTGTAAGGAGTCAAAGTTCAGCCATTACTTTATGTTTTGGGACATTATTTTTACTTGTTATTACCATTTTATTATGTTTCAAGGCTGAAAACTTCCAAAACTGCAACTAAATTCAAAATTAAACTAAAAGAAATGAATATTCCACTTATGTATATGACTGCTTTCATAACCTAAACATAGATAATCTCAAATGGTATCCACAGCCAATGATCTCAAAAAAGAGTTAAAGAATAGTCTCTAAGCCAAAGTGTAATTGAATGAAAAATTCAAATGATAAATTTTTGAAAAGACTATCATGTATTTTGAAAATAAAAATGTAATTGTTAATGTAAGTATGTAAATAAGATAAAGCAGCACTAGGTTTTGTGACATCACCTGAAGCCAAATAAGACAATGCAACAATTCAACAGACATGGTGAAGCTCCTGAATGCAAGGTTGACAAGGCTGAGATGATTTTCTGGCATTCTGTCAGCAATGGCTCTTAGATAATTTTCTGGCATTCTGTCAGCAATGATTAGGTGCATAGACCGTAAGATATTTTGTATAATTTTTTATTTAGATTTAGCTGGTCTTCACACAAATTAGGATAAAGATAATTTAAATTTCAATTTTGAAAAAATATTTTTTTGTAAATAAATGTTTTCTTATACATAGTTAAATTAATTTTGTTTTGAATAGTTTGAAATACAGTTGACCCCCCCTATAACGTGGTAGATCCGTTCCACTTTATAAGAATTTTGCATTATAGGAATCCTTAAATACACGAGCCAATCACAGCCCGACATGTGTGAAGTTTATGGACTACAGCTGTTTGAAAGGTTTTCTTCCGTAAAATTAATCGATTCTAGACTAATTTGACTCAACATTTCCATAACACACATAATTTTTTGGGAATAATCTGTATAAACTATGCTATAAACATAAAGTTGTAGGATTACTTACTGAGTGTGCACCGTTCGACGACGCCATTGCTTAAGCTTGTTTTCGTTGCGGAGCAGCGCACCAAACGGCTGGCGCATTTTCTAATAAGTTATTTTTCTGAGAAAAATTTGCTGAACTTTGGAGACATCATTAATAGAAATAATTTTTATGGCCGTTGAATAAGAAATGCTTTTTTCACAAGAAATGTATAAAATTACAGTACTGTATTAGACTTACAGTACCTAATTTATATACTGTACAGACGATAGTAAACTCAACTTACCCGCCTAAACTCTCCGTAGCATGTAAGTAATTCGGCTGTTCGTCCACTATTGGTCCAGATTCAACCAATCCTGTCGCGACATGAGTCGGCAATGACATTTTACTGCATTTTACGAGTCTCTTTTAGTGTCTTTATACGAATACGATCGTAATTTTTTTGCCACGATATACGAATCCACATTATATGAACCTGCATTATAGGGGGTCAACTGTATATATATTTTTATTAGTATTAATTCATAAAGTTATGGGATTACAGTTGTATATATGAAAAAAATCTATTAACATCATATGATAAACTGGATATATGTNTATATAATTAACAATTAAAGAATTATCTGTTTATTTAACAGTATTTCAATATTTAAAGATGAAAAAACTGATTAAAAATTTATGTTTTTATCATCCAATGTAAATGTATTTAAAAATTAAGAGAACTTTACACAATCACTATTTCTATAATATAAAATAGCTACTTACTATTGTACAATATTGTAAATAAAAATTTATTAACTAACAACTCTATAAACACCTGATAAATTATAATAAAGCACTAACCACTGGCATATGCCATCAGGCTATATAACAGCTATAATAATAATAAATTACTGAGAGAAAGAGACATTAGATGCCTAATCTCTAGGGTCAAATTGATCAGTAATTTATTATACCTGTTATATAGCCTGACGGCATATGGCAGTGCTCTATTAAAAATTTATTAGTAAATAATATTAGTAAGAGATTAAAATTCCAAATACAAACAACAAAACATGCGGTTAATGTTATCCATGGTTCTAAAATGGCCGTGCTTCCGATTGTTCGTGATCCAGATGAACTCCTCCCGGAGGGGAGCCACTGGCAGGCCACTGAGTGCAAAACATCACTAGTTATTGATTCACAGTAGTTCTTGAACAAAATAAATTAAAAAAAAAAAAAGTCTAATAAAAATGTAGCTAATCTAATGAAAATAAAACGAACCTAACCGAAGCTCTGCCATTTTGGAATCATAGGTAACATTAACCAAACATGCTATTAATTATAATAAAAATACATATAGAATGTACAGTACATATAATAAAATATTGTAATTATAAAAGCACATTTGTTATTTTAAGTATTAATGCTATTATTAATGAAGATCTCAAAAAAATAAATTCACATCTTAGAAATCAACTCCAGCAAAAACTTTAACAAAACAAAAAACATTTTTAACATAATTTGATAGGTCTTCATCACTTGGGTATTCCAAAATAGAATATATTTGAGTAAAAAGAACATTCAATAAATACCAGTAGAATAGAACAAAATATAAAATTTAAATATAACAGAAATAAAATAAATATAAATTAACAAAAATAATATAACATAAAAATAACAAATATTTAACAAAATAAAATAAACAACAGAATAAGAATAATAATGTAGAAGTGCCCCATTAAAGTAAGTCAAGTTAGAGCTCATACAGTACTTGTATGCAGTAGATAGTGAGTCTGCATCCCTGTAATTATGCAGGTGGAAGTTCAATTGACTTTATATATTTCTAAGGTCTCTAAATTCCTAAGAGTGTTGAAGTTCTTAGTTGGCTGATGATTGCAGCATCTTTCCACTTGGCCTGTACTTTTTCTTGGATAACATATGCTGCTAATATCATGTTGCAAAGTTTCTTATCAATAGTATACTTGTGTTTTTTAAGCCTTTGTTTAAGTACTTTGTAAGTTCATTTTGTACCCCTGATGTATGGTAGTGCCCTGTTAAATTATGGGTCTCTTATTGAGATTGAATAAATCACAGTGGAATCATCATAACTATACTGAGCATTGTTGTTTCTTAAGATCTTGAAAATAGAATTGATATATCATGTTCACATTATTACATTTGGCTACCTGTTTGTATATTTTATTCAAGGTAGGGAAATAATTTATATTGAGTCTTCTTTTATACTCAGTTTGTGAAAGCTCACTTCATTTGTTAATTCTCCTTTTTCAGGTATAAGGATCAGATCTTCATTCAAAGCTGGGGTGTACCTATGGAGAGTTCCATTCCTGGATTACTGTGTGAACTTGGCATTTTCTGCTTGGAAAAGATGATTTTACCAGAATTCCAATATCTTATTCTGATCTATGTGAGATTTGTCTGTAAGGAGTCAAAGTTCAGCCATTACTTTATGTTTTGGGACATTATTTTTACTTGTTATTACCATTTTATTATGTTTCAAGGATGATCTTTGCATTTGATGGCATGGAGAGGCAATTGCTTTGCTCTTGTGTTTTGTTCACTTTTTGTAACTATTTTCTGTTAGGTGCATGAAATGCTGATTTTATTTTTGACCTCTAGGGCTAAATTCCATTAGGCATGCTAAGTCATATCAGAGAGATGGACTATTGTCATTTTAATATCTCTATATATTGAAAACAAAATCATGGACTCCTATTTGTTACATTTAAATGGACCCTCATTACATTTTTGAACTCATCACAATTAATGGAAAATGGCAAAGTTTTATCAAAATTGGCCCATTAAATTTTGAGAACAAACTCGATTTTATACGCCCATAGAAGGTGTGCTAGTGACCATGGAACACCCCATGCAACAAAGCAATATCACACAAATCGTGTGATATCGCTTTGTCACATGCATTCATGCTATGACCTTATATCTCAAAAATGAAGTCATAGACTCCCATTTTTTATTACATTTTTGGATTCATTATTGCAATTAATGGAAAATTGCAAAGTTGAATCAAAATCCATCAAACAGATTTTGAAAACAAACACAATTCTGTAAGCCACATAGAAGATAAGATTGAGAAGAGCATTAGCCTATGTGGCTAATGCTCTTCAAAGATACCAAAAACATTGCTGTACTGAAGTTACTAACGCTATATTTAAAAACTGACAGCCTACAGTTTAGGCTATCCTCAGTATCAAACAAACTTATAAAAATATTGTATTCCATTTGAAAAAGTAGATCAGTTCACTGTTAAATTAAAACCAAAAATGTAAGTTACTGTTTTTAAATTAAAACCTTAACATACACACTATTATAAATTCTAAAATTACAATTAGATTTAAATTTAGTATTAATTAAATAATACATAAGCCTATTAAACTATTAAACAGACACAGAATAAGATGTATATAAATAATTACCCTTTGCAAATCATCCAGTTCATTTGTTACACTTTCAGCACTTTCTAAAGCCTCTTCTTCTTCAAGTGTATGTTCATCATCAAAATCATTCACTAACATTTCAGCAGTTGGATCAAAATCTTGATCACTATCTATATTATAAAATAATGTTTTGATAAAATTTAAAAATAATTAATGTTTATATTTAAAAAATGTTCTAGATTAAAATGAAAATTTTCAACCTAACCTTTATTATAAAATAATAAGGTTAAATTACAAAAGTTAACAACTTCTATAATTCTATCAATACATGTAATAAACTATATATAAAAATTTTTCATCACATAGGCAATGTATGTCTCTAAACATAATTTTAATAAAATTATTATACAGTATTCATATATCACTTTATCTGATCCAACTTGTAAATTAATAAAAATTTCTTTACAATCAATAAATACACAAGTAGTAACACATTATATTTATATTTATACATTATATTAATATTACATTACATTATATTTATACATTATATAATTAACAATTAAAGAATTATCTGTTTATTTAACAGTATTTCAATATTTAAAGATGAAAAAACTGATTAAAAATTTATGTTTTTATCATCCAATGTAAATGTATTTAAAAATTAAGAGAACTTTACACAATCACTATTTCTATAATATAAAATAGCTACTTACTATTGTACAATATTGTAAATAAAAATTTATTAACTAACAACTCTATAAACACCTGATAAATTATAATAAAGCACTAACCACTGGCATATGCCATCAGGCTATATAACAGCTATAATAATAATAAATTACTGAGAGAAAGAGACATTAGATGCCTAATCTCTAGGGTCAAATTGATCAGTAATTTATTATACCTGTTATATAGCCTGACGGCATATGGCAGTGCTCTATTAAAAATTTATTAGTAAATAATATTAGTAAGAGATTAAAATTCCAAATACAAACAACAAAACATGCGGTTAATGTTATCCATGGTTCTAAAATGGCCGTGCTTCCGATTGTTCGTGATCCAGATGAACTCCTCCCGGAGGGGAGCCACTGGCAGGCCACTGAGTGCAAAACATCACTAGTTATTGATTCACAGTAGTTCTTGAACAAAATAAATTAAAAAAAAAAAAAGTCTAATAAAAATGTAGCTAATCTAATGAAAATAAAACGAACCTAACCGAAGCTCTGCCATTTTGGAATCATAGGTAACATTAACCAAACATGCTATTAATTATAATAAAAATACATATAGAATGTACAGTACATATAATAAAATATTGTAATTATAAAAGCACATTTGTTATTTTAAGTATTAATGCTATTATTAATGAAGATCTCAAAAAAATAAATTCACATCTTAGAAATCAACTCCAGCAAAAACTTTAACAAAACAAAAAACATTTTTAACATAATTTGATAGGTCTTCATCACTTGGGTATTCCAAAATAGAATATATTTGAGTAAAAAGAACATTAAATAAATACCAGTAGAATAGAACAAAATATAAAATTTAAATATAACAGAAATAAAATAAATATAAATTAACAAAAATAATATAACATAAAAATAACAAATATTTAACAAAATAAAATAAACAACAGAATAAGAATAATAATGTAGAAGTGCCCCATTAAAGTAAGTCAAGTTAGAGCTCATACAGTACTTGTATGCAGTAGATAGTGAGTCTGCATCCCTGTAATTATGCAGGTGGAAGTTCAATTGACTTTATATATTTCTAAGGTCTCTAAATTCCTAAGAGTGTTGAAGTTCTTAGTTGGCTGATGATTGCAGCATCTTTCCACTTGGCCTGTACTTTTTCTTGGATAACATATGCTGCTAATATCATGTTGCAAAGTTTCTTATCAATAGTATACTTGTGTTTTTTAAGCCTTTGTTTAAGTACTTTGTAAGTTCATTTTGTACCCCTGATGTATGGTAGTGCCCTGTTAAATTATGGGTCTCTTATTGAGATTGAATAAATCACAGTGGAATCATCATAACTATACTGAGCATTGTTGTTTCTTAAGATCTTGAAAATAGAATTGATATATCATGTTCACATTATTACATTTGGCTACCTGTTTGTATATTTTATTCAAGGTAGGGAAATAATTTATATTGAGTCTTCTTTTATACTCAGTTTGTGAAAGCTCACTTCATTTGTTAATTCTCCTTTTTCAGGTATAAGGATCAGATCTTCATTCAAAGCTGGGGTGTACCTATGGAGAGTTCCATTCCTGGATTACTGTGTGAACTTGGCATTTTCTGCTTGGAAAAGATGATTTTACCAGAATTCCAATATCTTATTCTGATCTATGTGAGATTTGTCTGTAAGGAGTCAAAGTTCAGCCATTACTTTATGTTTTGGGACATTATTTTTACTTGTTATTACCATTTTATTATGTTTCAAGGCTGAAAACTTCCAAAACTGCAACTAAATTCAAAATTAAACTAAAAGAAATGAATATTCCACTTATGTATATGACTGCTTTCATAACCTAAACATAGATAATCTCAAATGGTATCCACAGCCAATGATCTCAAAAAAGAGTTAAAGAATAGTCTCTAAGCCAAAGTGTAATTGAATGAAAAATTCAAATGATAAATTTTTGAAAAGACTATCATGTATTTTGAAAATAAAAATGTAATTGTTAATGTAAGTATGTAAATAAGATAAAGCAGCACTAGGTTTTGTGACATCACCTGAAGCCAAATAAGACAATGCAACAATTCAACAGACATGGTGAAGCTCCTGAATGCAAGGTTGACAAGGCTGAGATGATTTTCTGGCATTCTGTCAGCAATGGCTCTTAGATAATTTTCTGGCATTCTGTCAGCAATGATTAGGTGCATAGACCGTAAGATATTTTGTATAATTTTTTATTTAGATTTAGCTGGTCTTCACGCAAATTAGGATGAAGATAATTTAAATTTCAATTTTGAAAAAATATTTTTTTGTAAATAAATGTTTTCTTATACATAGTTAAATTAATTTTGTTTTGAATAGTTTGAAATACAGTTGACCCCCCCTATAACGTGGTAGATCCGTTCCACTTTATAAGAATTTTGCATTATAGGAATCCTTAAATACACGAGCCAATCACAGCCCGACATGTGTGAAGTTTATGGACTACAGCTGTTTGAAAGGTTTTCTTCCGTAAAATTAATCGATTCTAGACTAATTTGACTCAACATTTCCATAACACACATAATTTTTTGGGAATAATCTGTATAAACTATGCTATAAACATAAAGTTGTAGGATTACTTACTGAGTGTGCACCGTTCGACGACGCCATTGCTTAAGCTTGTTTTCGTTGCGGAGCAGCGCACCAAACGGCTGGCGCATTTTCTAATAAGTTATTTTTCTGAGAAAAATTTGCTGAACTTTGGAGACATCATTAATAGAAATAATTTTTATGGCCGTTGAATAAGAAATGCTTTTTTCACAAGAAATGTATAAAATTACAGTACTGTATTAGACTTACAGTACCTAATTTATATACTACACAGACGATAGTAAACTCAACTTACCCGCCTAAACTCTCCGTAGCATGTAAGTAATTCGGCTGTTCGTCCACTATTGGTCCAGATTCAACCAATCCTGTCGCGACATGAGTCGGCAATGACATTTTACTGCATTTTACGAGTCTCTTTTAGTGTCTTTATACGAATACGATCGTAATTTTTTTGCCACGATATACGAATCCACATTATATGAACCTGCATTATAGGGGGTCAACTGTATATATATTTTTATTAGTATTAATTCATAAAGTTATGGGATTACAGTTGTATATATGAAAAAAATCTATTAACATCATATGATAAACTGGATATATGTACTATACAGAACACCACTATTACCAATAAACCAGCAAAAACAAAATTTTAATGCCAAAATAAATGTTTTCAATTGTTTTTAATGATCATTGTCAGGCTGTACATTCAAAAATCAAGCAAAACATAGAATAAACATTTTAAACTGGATAGAATAAAACCTCTGTTAACTGCAGCTCAACAAAAGAAACAATTACAATGCCAAAAGAAAAAGAACATTACACCTATGAAGACTGAAAACATTGTTATTTTCAGATGAACCAATATTTCATATATCATTTGGAGAAATTAGTGATCTCACTTGTTTACTACAGTTAATAAACATCCTGTAATGTCAAGTCATGGGGTTATTTTGAAACTTGTGGTACTGGCTGTTTTTTTTAAATAAAACCATAAATTCAGAAACTTATCAGCAGATTTTGGAATTCTATCTTATTCCCTTAATAGATGTTCTGTTCAGTGATGATGCTTTTGAAACACATCACTATACTGTAATATCCAGCACATAATATACTAACTAAAAAATAAAAATAAAAAATGTTTTTAACGATTTTTAAATTATCATCATCAGCTAATTTTTGAAACATAGCCATAAGTAATAGAGATGCAAAAACATTCTCCAAAGCATGGAGATCTACTTTTTAAGTACAACTATAAATTAAACCTTATTACTTAAAAAAAAACATTTAGTTTCGTCATTGCTGACATCAGTATTTTTCAACCAATGAAATAATCATTCCATGCATTTTTAAAGTATCGTTAGAATTTTTATGTAATTGGGCTGAAAACATTTGCTTTTTCAATTATATGTATTTCTCAGCAACAAATAAGGTGTTTTGTTTCTATTTTCATGTAGATGTTTAACTGTTTTTAACACTTGAATTTTCATGTATATTTTCATTTTCAATGATTTTTAAATCACTAAAAAATGTTTGTTTTATTATTTTTTAGTTAGTACATTGTACACTGGATATTACTGGTGTAGCCATGTACTTTTGACTTAATAAATACAGTTTTTGTGTGTTATGTAGTTATCAATAATGATCTGACTCAAACTCATATATCACAGTCAACAAAGGTCCGGCTTGTGGAGCATGGAATAAATGTTTTAGATTGACCAGAAAACTTACTTTATCTTAATCGCATAGCACGTATTAACCGCTCGTTATAACTGAGAAGGCGGACATGTCAAGCATGCGCATCGGATAATTTTATAGCGCTGTTTGAACTCAAGAACGATCTTATCTGAACATCACTCGTTAATGGCTTCCGTTAACGACATTCGTTAAA